CTATTTCTGCCTATAGGTCTGCCAGCTTTTAATTTATACTGTATTTTTCATTTCTAGAATTTTGGCTCTTTTATATGCAGATTTTCTGCCAGAAATTCTTCTTGTTGTCTTTTTTTTTTAATTTTTTTAAAGCATTCTGATCATTCTTTTTAATACAGTGTGTTTTTGAAAGCTCAATCATCTGCGTCCCTTTTGGGTCTGTTCACGTTGTCTGCTCCTTCTCTTGATTTTTAATCACAACATCTTCCCATGTACCTAGTTATTATGAGTGCTGGAGACTGTAAAATGAACAGTTGTAGAGAATTTAAAACCTAGAGTAATGGTATCTTGGAGGATTTACATTTGTTTCTGAGAGCTGGCTAGTGGAATTGGCAGTCCTGGATCGTTTTAATGCAGTCAAGGATTGAGATGATTTGAAGCTGGACTTTTTAGTCCATGTGAGATCCAGACTGTTTCTACTTTATTTACTTCCAGCGTATGACATAGTAGAGGCCCAGACCCCAGTGTGGGGGGTTCAATAGGTCCTTGCTGGGTGAGCTTCAGTGTTAGACCCCTGAGATCTGAGGGCCTGTTAAAAGTTACTGTGTCCAGTTCTTGGTGGCTTCTTATAGATTTGGTAGATGCCCCTAGGGGAAATGTGTCTTTAGGTGCAGGGTTTCCATTATCTCCCAGATCTTGACTCCACAGTTCGTTAGTGCCCAGGAGTAGATCTTTTTTTCTACACTTTTGTCCAGCTTTTCTAATTGCTCTTGTCAGAAAAGCTTTTTGAATTTACTTTCTCATACTGGGTAGTGGAACATCTTTGTTGTATAAGTTCCTTTGGTGAATTAGTGGCAGCTAGGGTTGTCAACTGTGGCCCTTCCTCATCTTCTACAATCATCCCCTTCTAAGCTACTCTACCCACTTAGGCCTTTATGCTGTTTCTTAGCGTGTCCCTATCTTAAGACCTTTATTCTTGCTGTTTTCTTTGCCTGGGACTCTTCCCCATATTGCTGAATAGCTCACTCGTATTTTCTTCAGGTCTTCATCAGAGGGTCACCTTTTTGACCCCATCAGTGATACCTTTTTGACCTTGCTAATGAGCACCACATATGAAATAGCAGCACCTCCACCCCCTCAAGCCTCTTATTTTTCTTCATTTTGCTGACGACCATAAGACGTGATTAGTTTCCATCATTATGCGTATAAGTTCTTTGAGACAGTGTTTTGTTTCCATTACCTGTCCAGCACCTAAAGTTGTCCTGCACATAGAAAATGCTTAATATAATATTTGTTGCTGAGTGAATATAAGAATGAAATTATAATGAAGATAAAAGTACAGACTTCATAGTGTTTGTGAGGATTAAATAAGTTAATACAATTAAGTGAAGCCATTTGCAACTAAAGTAAGTACAATACCAGGCATATGGTAAGCACTCACATAGTATTTCTCAAAATTGTTGCCTCGCAAGTGATCCCTTCTCATTTCTAGATATGGCAGAGATTGAAAATGACTTGCTTTTTTTAAAGCACCACCCCCCCCCCCTTTTTTTTTGCTTACATTAATATTATGATTAACCCCAGATTTTATAGCCTTGGGGCTGGGATGGTAGAATGAAGCTTAATCCATGGGACTCTATTCATGTAGCTGGAGGATTTAGAGAATAGATCTGTGCATTTAAACCAGCTTATGATTTCCAGGCAATCAGGATGCAGCTTTTAATGTAACTTAATGAGTGGGAGAGTGATTGAATAGACATCGTTCATTTTTAACTTTGATCTCGTAAGGACTCCATTCTGGGAGACTGGCACACTCTCAGTTTTAGGTAATGCAAGTGAAATACAATACTAAGCAGATATAAGCAAATATTATTTTCTGTTGAAGAGAACATCAAGATTTATTGACCTAAGTGGTAAGTATTGACTCAAGCAAATGCTGAAGTCAATGTTTACCGCAAGGGACAGTAAATCTTGATGATCAGAGAATATGTAGTTAATCTCAGAGTTTCATTAGAAGTATCTGGAAATCTTGTGGAATGAATCTCTTGAGTATAACTTTGCTTTTGGAAAAACCCAACAACCATCTTTTAAGTTGAAGACACAGAGTTCTTTAAAGTACTTGGACATATTGATGAGATTTTTTCCTGATTGTTTTTAACTTGGACAGCCGAGTTCCTGCCTTATGTCTGACAGTGTTATGAGCTAGCTTCTTTATCCAAGAAATTGATTGATATCAAGTTTAGTTAGATTTTGTTTATATTGTTTATATTATTTTGCATGATATTGTATATAAGTCTTAATGCACATAGTTTATAAGATAAAAGACAAGGAACAAATATCTTTAACATTTATAGTTTAGCGGAAATACAGGATCTCTATGTATGAAATAGGCAATGACACAAGGCTACGTATGACACTTTATGTTTCTGATATCATAGAAATTATTTTAGAAAGTTGAGAGGAAAGTTGTTGAAAACTTAATGGAAAAGATGAACTGTAAAGAAATTCTTTTTTTTTTAGTTTTAATTTTAATTCCAATTAGTTGATAAACCATTTTAGGTATACAGTATAGTGCTTAACAGTTCTGCACATCACCTGGTGCTTGTCACAACAAGGGGACTCCTTAATACCCATTATATATTTAACTCAACCCCTCGCCCCATTCCCCCTCCTTTCTGGTAACCATCAGTTTGTTCTCTTTAACTAAGAGTCTGTTTCTTGATCTCTCTCTCTCTCTCTCTCTCTCTCTCTCTCTCTCTCTCCCCGCTTTGCTTATTTGTTTTGTTCACTAAATTCCACATTTGAGGGACACCTGCATGCCTCAGTCAGTTAAGCATCCGACTGTTGATTTTGACTCAGGTCATGATCTCATGGTTCATGAGGTTGAGCCCCGTGTTGGGCTGTGTGCTGACAGCATGGAGCCTGCTTGGAATTCTCTCTCTTCCTCTCTCTCTCTGCCCCTCCTCTGTTTGTGCTCTCTTGCTCTCTCAAAATAAATAAACTTAAAAGGAAAAAAATCCACATACGAATGAAATCATTTGGTATTTATCTTTCTCTGATTGACTTACTTTGCATAATAGTCCATAGCTCCATCCATGTCATTGTAAATGGCAAGATTTCATTCTTTTTTATGGTTGAATATATATATGATATATATTTATATACACACAATGGAATATTACATATATATAATATAATACACACACACACCACATCTTCTTTATCCATTCATCTACTGATGGACTCTGGGCTGCTTCCATATTTTGGCTGTTGTAAATAACACTGCTATAAACATCAGGGTGTGTGTATCCCTTTGAATTAGTGTTTCTGTATTCTTTGGGTAAATACCTAGTAGTGCAATTGCTGGATCATAGGGTAGGTCTATATTTTTAACTTTTGGAGGAACCTCCATATTTTTCCACAGTGGTTACATTAGTTTGCCTTCTCACCAACAGTGCAAATGTTTCCTTTTTCTCCACATCCTCATCAACACTTGTTTCGTGTGTGTGTGTGTGTGTGTGTGTGTGTGTGTGTAATTAATTTAGAGAGAGCGAGCCAGGGAGAGGGACAGAGGGAGAGAGAGAATCTCAAGCAGGCTACATGCTCAGTGCAGAGCCCAATGCGAGGCTTGATCTTACAACCCTGGGATCATGACCTGAGCTGAACTCAAGACTTGTACACTCAACTGACTGAGCCACCTGTCTTGTGTTTTTTATTTTAGCCCTTCTGATAGGTGTGAGGTGATATCTCATTATGGTTTTGATTTGCATTTCCCTGATGATGAGTGATGTTGAGCATCTTTTATGTGTCTGTTGGCCATCTGTATGTCTTCTTTGGAGAAATGTCTTCTGCCTATTTTATTCTTTTTTTTCTTTTCCTTCCCCACTCTCCTCCTTTTAAAAATAATCCCTACACCAATGTGAGGCTCAAACTCACAACCCCAATATTGAGTTACACGCTCCACCCACTGAACCAACCAGGTGCCCCTGTCCATTTTTAAATTGGATTATTTGTTTTTTGGGTGTTGAGTTATATCAGTTCTTTATATATTTGGGATACTAACCCTTTATTGGATATGTCATTTACAAATATCTTCTCCCATTCCTTAGGCTGCCTTTTAACTTTGTTGATTGTTTTCTTTGCAGTGCAGAAGCTTTTTATTTTGATGTAGTCCCATTAGTTTATTTTGCTTTTGTTTCCCTTGCCTCAGGAGACATATCTAGAAAAAAGTTGCTATGGCCAATGTCAAGGAAGTTACTGCCTATGTTCTCTTCTAGGATTTTTATGGTTTGAGGTCTCATATAGGTCTCTAATCCATTTTGAATGTTTTTGTGTGTATGGTATAAGAAAGTGCTCCAGTTTCTTTCTTTTGCATGTTACTGTCCATTTGTTGAAGAGACTGTCCTTTTTCCACTGCATATTCTTTCCTGCTTTGTTCAAGATAAATTGACTATATAGTTGTGTGTTTATTTCTGGGTTTTCTATTCTGTTCCATCGATCTGTGTGTCTGTTTTTGTGCCAGTACCATATTGTTTTGATAATAAAATCTTGAGTAGGATTTGAATAGGCGGAAGGCTGTTTTAGTGTGAGAAATGATTAGATTTTCCAAAGCATAAGATTTTAATATGTGGGCTTAAAAATTTTCTATAAGTAATACATGTTAAATTACAGATATATTTGAAAAGACACAAATAAAAATAAACCCTACCACCAGAGATAACTACCTTTAACATTTTGATATATATCTTTGTAGACTTTTTTCTCTTCCTGCATATACAGGTGTGAAAAATGCAAAAATATTTTATGAATGAATGCCAATTCATATGAGTAAATGAGAAAATAAATATATAAAAGGATAGTATTGTTTCCTAAAGATTCATTAGCAATTTTTTGCTATTATAAGCTTATATCTATGGCAGTTTAATTGATCAGTGAAAGTACTGCGGTCCTTGTGATTCCTAAGGTTTTCCTTCCTGACCTCATTGTTTTGACTGATAATGAATTTGTTATAATTTTCTTAGGTGCTGGGTCTTCAGCTCTGAAGAGGCCATTTGAAGATGGATTAGGGGATGATAAAGATCCCAATAAGAAGATGAAACGAAACTTAAGGAAAAGTGTGTATTCTTACAGATGTGAACTAGAAAAGATTTGTAGTGTCAGACAAGAAAAAAAAATTTCAAAGTGAAGAATTTGATTTGAATTTGAATTTTAAGAGCATATCTTAACAAAAATTGATGATTGAAGAACTTTCTTTTGTTTTCAAGTTTCATTGCTTAAGATATATTAGTATTGACAAACTAAAATTGATGTATAGATGTAGTAATTCATATCACTTGTATAATGATATTAGCATAATTTAAGTGGCTTTAGAATTACTTATGAAGTGAAATTAATTTGTATATGTGTCTTCAAGTTCTTGCTTTTTAAAACCTGGTGAATTTATAGTGATCACTGGGAACCTACAAATGCATAGGTTAAAGCAAAATGGTTTAATTTTTGATC